TACACATAAGATAATAATACACCAACAACTATGAAGTGGTGGTATACATATAAAAATAAGCAATACTATAATTAGAAAATACCTTTACAAAGATATATCATACAATCATGCACAAATAAAGTGTTAAGGGCGTATCAAGAGATGTTACAGTAAAAAAAGAATAACAATTATAGCAAATAACAAAAATTAATCAAAGCTAAATTTACAAAAATACAAAAAGGTTACAGACATAAAACTTTAACCAAACCGCACTTGGTTAAGTCAATTATTTGCTTCGCACTAGTATTTTATGATTGAGAACTAAATGTTCGTAAATATTATTTATTGAAATCTCTTAGTAGCTGATGGAAATTTCGTAAGAAAATATTGGATGATCTTTAAATTGAATGCAAAAATTAGTAGTTACTCTCAACTACAGGTGAAGACATGGATGAACTTTGATTCGCTCAGATAATGGAGGATGATATGATACCATACCATATTACTTGCCCAGAGAATTGAAGATAATGATTACTTACAGTAAATCTTGATGACTGCTGCATTAATTCAATAAAGTTAATAATATACTTGTATTAAACACTGAATTTAATTAACATTAAAGGTAGTTTATAACTATATTTAATTTAATATAGTATAACGATAAAAACTCAAATAAACAGGTGTATACACACTTAGAAAACAATTCACAGACGGTAAGACAACAAATACGATAATGTGAGTGAAGAGTCTCACGAGATATCAGCCTTTACTCAACGAGAGCCCACGCAGAAGTAAATCTTTCTTTGCAAAAATTTACCAAACTCACCACCAAAAAAGGAAGGGATATCTCTCACTCAAAAATCATAGGCCTGTTGTATGTATTTCTAAGAAGATAACAATTCCGAAAGTTTTGAGTTAGACACCGGTACCAGCAATTGGACATGAGAACAATAGAATCCTTAGGATAAGGATATTACCGAAAAATTACTATACGTGCCTCCGAAGATATTGTTTCCCTAAGTATCAAACAGAAACCCGCCTTAAAGCCGAGAAGACTTAGTTCCATTCATATTCAGGATTACAAAGGAAAGGATTAAAAACCTTTCTTACTCAGGGAAATTCCGTGTTATTTTGGTAGGTAGATTCTTCCGTCATTTTAAGGTAGTTTCCCAATAAAAACTCCTAATCGTACACACGATCATTGGCGTATCATCCACATGGGAAAAGGGAATTAAAAATAATTAATATTTTAATTATATAAAAAAATGTTACAAACCATCGAAAACATCTACTTCCTTAATTGAATACAGGCAAAGATAAATGAAAAACTAACACAGTATATACCCGTATAAGGGGGAGTCGGACAGGGTGACTCGTTAAGCCTTCTTTTCAAGTAATGGACGAAATAATAAAAGCAGTACGTAAAGGTCATCGTTACAAAATGGAGAATAAAGAAATCCAAATATTATGTTATACAGACGACGCCGCATTAATCGCCGATACAGAAGACGATATCCAAAGATTAACACACATCTTGAATATAAAAGCCAAGAAATACAATATGATAATATCAGCAGAAAAACCCAAATGTATGACAACATCTAAATACCCACTACGATGTAAAATCGAAAGTTATGGAAAAATAAAAAAGCAGGAAGCAAAGTTTAGATATTTGGGAATAGACATAACTAGTTACGGAGATGTTAAAGAAGAAGTACGATAATAAAGCTTAAAAGCAAGGAAAGCGTAGGGATCTCTTAATGACACAATCTGGAAGAAGAAACACCTAAGACAAGACACAAAAACCAGAATATATAAGGCAGTAATTAGACATATATTAACATATACGGATATACGGCGGAGACAAGACCTGATACATCTAAAACGAGACGACTACTAGAAACAACAGAGATGAAAATACTTCGACGAATATCAGGGAAAAGTCTTTCCAGTACTTTTCAGTTTTCCGTTGAAACTTTATTCCGTTAAAATATATTCACGTAATCGATCTAAATTGTACAATAATTACTTCTATTTTAAGCGTTCGCATTATATTTTGACAATATCTATATTTTGACCACACAGGTCTTCCCCATATTGCTTATGTGGTTATTCCATTCTTTTTTTTCTATAGAAATGTACAAAAATTATACCAGAGTCCATTGAATTCCGAAGTTTTTCAAACTTTAACTTTAGATATTGTAAACGGCGATTTGTTCCGTACCTTGTATAAAATTTAAATTCTCGAAGGGTTGGTAGCAGGTACCTTTTTTAAGACTTCCTGTAGAGAACAGATTAAACAGGCTCATGGGTCTATAATTTTCTTGATCTGTAATTGAAAAAACGTACTAGTTTTATCTTCTTCTTCTTCTTAGCCTTCTATTGTCCATGTTTGGACATAGGCCTCTCCCAACTCCTTTCATCGGTCTCTATCTTGAGCAACATATTTCCAATTTGTTCCGGCTATTCTTTTAATGTCATCAACCCATCTAATCTGTGTTCTCTTGGTCGTTTACTTTCGTAAGGTCTCCAATGTTGTATTGTAGTATTCCAACGTTGGTCTTTCTGTCTAGCAGTGTGGCCCGCGAAGCTCCATTTAAGTTTTGCAATTTTTATTGTTATGTCCTCGACTTTTGTTTTGGATCTTACCCAGTCGTTCCCCTTTTTATCTGACAGTCGTATACCTAATATTGCTCTATTATTTTTGTTTTTTTCATATTCATTTTTAGGCCGACGTATTGGGAGCTGGCTGCTAGTTCCCTCAACATAATTTGCAGTTCCTCGAATGTGCTCGCTATAATCACTATGTCGTCAGCGAATCTGAGGTGGTTTAACTTGTTGCCATTAACGTTAATGCCATAGGTTGACCAATTTGTAGTTTTGAAGACGTCTTCTAGGGCTAGGTTGAAAAGCTTTGGCAATATTACGTCTCCTTGTCTCACTCCTCTCTTAATGGGGATGGGATTTGTATTTTCGTCTACTAATTTTATAATTTACTATAATTATGATAAAGATTTCTGTCCATGTATTATTATTATTATTCTTGAGTATTTTTTATTTTTATGTTTTCTTTAATATTAGTATCTACTGTAAAAATAAATTTGAGGCAATTTTCTACTTATTAAAATCTAAAAAAAAATGGAAACATCACCCTACCTCTAGCGGTTGCATCTAAAGGTTTCTCAAATATTTCCCGAATAAATCATTAATTTCAAAAAGTGAATATTCCTATTATTCTTTTATTGTAGACGTCCTTTGCGGCGAAACTTTTATGACAGTTCCTTTCCTTTCCGAGCCCCTTGCCCTCGCATTTTTGTTTCCTTTTGAATTCTTAATTCTATAAAAGACATTCTTTATTTCTGTATCTCGTTCTTTGTTCTCGCAGAAATTTTATTATTTAATTGCGATTATTTATTAGGGTGTGCTGGTGTCGTTATTTTTTGTGATGGTGGAGTGTTAGTACAGACAATCGCAACAATTTTATTAAATTAAACCGTATGTAAGTCACTAAATTATTATCGAAAATAAGTTTAAAATATAATATTCTTTAACATACAGGAAAATATTTTTCCGTTTAATAATTTCCAATAGACAAAACATATAACGAATAAAAATGATCACGTAAGAACTTCTTATTATTGCAGGGATCTTTTTCTTGCATTCACTGAATCCTGTGGAGATTCCTGATAAACATGACTCTTTGCTGACAAATGACTTGACCGATATCATTATGAACCATTCAAGAAGGTTTTGCAGACAAGAAATTTTCTACGTCCCACGCTTCTTCGTCCAACGATCTTTCCTTGCATTATAAGCTGTAAGAACTCATATCCTACAGCCAAACTCTCGCTATCACTGTTTTCATGATCTTATTTTTTATCATATCATCATCTCGTTGACAGTATATACATATACCAGTCTCCTATTTTTTAATATCTATTCAATAAGAATCAAAACAGAATATGAATAACTGAGTTAGATAATAGCTTATATCCCCCTGTTCATGGTCTATCTATTTCTTAAAGTAAGTTTAATCAAACGTCTCCTCGTTTCCGTCCATCTCCTGAGTCATTTATTAATTAGTTTTCTTCATATGTCGGTCATCCTCTATTCGTTTTGACTCCCATTTGGTCGTATGTTCCTCAACTGTCAGACCTATCGGTTACACTCTAGCTAACACTGCCACCGCGTGATTTGACACGTTAGCCACTATATACCGTGAGAAAAGTGTTTCTCTGAACTCCTCTAATTTTGGAGTTGTACTCAGTGAAGGCTTTTGGGGGTAGGTAGGATAGGCCAGGCCTACCCAATAATTTTAAGAACTTTACAATTGAAAAACAAATGTTAAAAAATTATGTTAATGCATGTAAATAACTTTTAAATGTACTAAATCACTCAATACATTAGCGTCCGTTAAAACAACTGTTATTATATTACCACAGAAAGCATCGAATCGTATTCAGGCATTTTAAGTATCATTAATAGGCCCGATCGGAACTGGCCGACCCAGCTCACATAAGATCCCCGTACAAAAAGCGTTTGAAGTTAAGTAGCTTGCCGGACAACGATTTATATTGTCGTGTTTATGCTTGCTGTTTAGGAACCAGACGATCGGGCCTACGCCGACCATCGTTGTCACTTGTAACGTAATTATCGAATTGTAATATAAATTTTCTTTTAAATTATGATAAAAAATATGTAACATAATCTATAATTGTAACATATTTTTAAACAAACAACACAATTGCAAACAAGTGCACGGTTGCCCAAATAAATTTTAAAAAATTCGTAAAATTAAAAAAAAAATCACATTTGCATAATTTCTATATCGTCTGATTGTATGCAACTTATAAATGCCAACACTATTGTCGAGTATTAGTTAAATTTTCACTGTTATCTGTTATTACTAGTTGCACTAGTTATTTGGCCGATCGAGGTTAATTTTTTTAAAATTATTCTTGGAATAGTGTGATCGTTTTATAACTGATAGATAAAAATAAGTTTTTCTGACGCTTTACCAGGTTGCAGTAATAGTAATGTTGATAGTGAGTGTTTGGACATTGTTGTTTCACTATTGGAATCGTCATTATCAAGAAGAACTGAAGTTGATAGAAAAAAAATTATTATGAATGAAAGGCCTACTCCAACATTGCGTATTGATGAAAAAGATGGGGAAAAGGTGCCTACTTTTAATTGTTCTTGGTATGATGTCTATAAATGCTTGTCTGGAAGTATTACGAAAAACACACTATATTGTTGGCCGTGTTTGTTATTTTCTAGTAAGGAATGTGTATGGAATTGTGAAGGATACTTTGATTCAAAAAATATGTCTGCCTCCTTAAAAAAACATTCCAGTTGCAAGGAACATTTAAGTAATTTCCTTTCCTTTAAGGATGTACAGAAGAGGGCGTTTTTTGTTCGCGATTTGCTAGATGAAAAATCAAAAATCGCAAAACTTAGATACAACGCAGAAATTAAAATAAACAGAGAAATCATTAAAAAATTAGTTTCTTTAACTTGTACTTTAGCGAAATAGGAACTGGCTTTCCGTGGCCACGACGAATCCGATGATTCCCTAAATCCTGTAAATTTTAAAGCAATTTGGGAATTAATATTAAAATCAACTCCAGAACTAAATGACCACTGGTAGAAAAAATATATTTTAAAGGTATAAGTATGTTTTCAAATATTTTTAAGGGGGGCTCATGACCCCATGAGCACGTAACCCCTCCCTCTGGATCCGCCACTGATTACACATAGCTATATGTAATTTGCAGGGTTAGCCTACACAAAATTTTATCACACCAGCCACCACTGGTTGTACTGTGTGTTTTAAAAACTTCCATTTGTGTTTGCACTTCATACAAACCTATGGAATGTAACACTCATCATATCTTGTGTACCATCAAAATTTTATAATTCCAGTAAAATTTCAAACAGTAATTAGTAAATCGAAAATAAAGATGGTATTGAAAAACCTAAACATGGCCTATAGATAGAATGTCTGCAGTAGTGTAAAAAATAAAGAAGAGCCCGTCTATAATATTCTTTCTATATTAATATAGATATTTCTTCCTTGTTGAACTATGGTCTAGAAGAAATGCATATGTGAGAGTTAAGTGCATCCTTCGATATTTAAATGGTAGCTCTCCAGTTTCTGTTCGTAAACTTTCAATTGGGCTGGTCCCGAATGCTTATGTGGCTATTCTTAATGCCGTAGTTTGAATAACTTTAAGGTGAAGTAATAAGGATTTTTTGGCAGATGTATATACTGTGGAAACATAATCCACTTTAGATCTAATTAAGGTTTTATAAACATGGATTAAGCAGTTATAGTATACTCCATAGTTTTTATTAGAGAGTTTTCATAAGATTGATACCATTTTGGCACGTTTTTTTAATTTGCAGTATATGTTTTTTCCATGTAAGTTTCGCACCGAAAATCATTCCTAAAAACCTAATGCCACCAGCGTAATTCAGAATTTGCTTATTTGATTTAAGTTGCGATTTAATCGGAGGATCACGTTTCTTTGAAAATACCAAACACTTTGATTTACTACGTGAAAACATAAATCCTGTTTTCTTCAACTAGTTTTCAACAGATCATCTGAATATAATCTGCAACGAACCAAGCTAGAGTTTGATGATGTAATATGATTCATGGCAATTAAAAATAGCTTTGCACTTATTACAGACTAGACCCTTGAGGGATGCAGTTTGCTTAATGTCTCATTAATGATGTGCAATGGTTGACTTTTAATTAAAAATTGCCGTTTTTTAAGAAAATTGAAATAAAATTAATATTACCTCTAATATTCCATGTGTGTAGTTATCTGGTAATATTGTAACGCCAGGCTGTGTCAAATGCTTTTGTAATATATATGAACACTGCAATAGTTTTCTGTTTTTTAGACAAAAAATATTTAAGAATTTTGGACTCTAAATCAATAAGAGTATCAGTAGTAGTTTGGTTTTGTGGGAATCCATTCTACTCGTTAACCAGAAGGTGATTTTCTTCTAATATCCATAGCATTGTTTTATTAAGTATTTTTTTTATGACTGTGCATATTACATTGATGCGGGAGATTTTTTTAAACTTTTTAGAACATCTAGCTTTGTCTGGCAGTTTTTTCAATAATACTAAAGGTTTATTATAAAGTTCAGAAGCAGAGTTTTTTGGAGTAATAAGGGCAAAGTTAAGTTCATCTAAAGTTAAAGGGAAATTGAACGGACTATTATCTTTATCTTCTCAATCGAGCTGTTGTTTTTCTGTAACGATTTTATATTGTATAAACTCTTCGGAATAGTTACTATTGCTGGAGATTTTTCAAAATAGGTAGCAAAAGCATTAGCTATTTCATTGGGTTTTGTTATTACATCAGTATTATGAATAAAAAAAGGTACTTAATAAAACTTGTTTTTTACTGAAAACTAAAAAGATCTCATATTAGACGATAACACCACGATAAAGCACTGCTGTAACTATACATATCTAGGTATCACTATTTCACAAGATGGAACATTAGACAAAGTCATAAAAGAGAGAAATACGTCAGGGAGAAAAGCCATCACAATGTTAATCAGCATTTTATGGGACCAATCCATCAGCAAAGAAAATAAAAAGATAATATATAAGACTATAGTAAAAAGTATCACTTTATGCAGCTGTTATGTATAGCCACTCAACGAAAGAAGGCTGGCAACGCTGAAAGCGACGGAAATGGATTTTTGGAGAAGAGCCGCAGGAATATCTAAAAGAAAAAGGATTACCAACGAACTCATTTGAGAAATAATGGGAATCAAACGACCAATCACAGATGACCTAACAACAAAACAACTTATCTGGTTCGGACACATACAAAGAATGGATGAACAATGATTACCAAAAGAAATATTAAAATGGCAGCCAGAAGAAAAGAGAAAACGAGGTAGACCGAGAAAAAGTTGGACCGAAGGAATAAATAAAGAACTGAGAGAGACAGATATAGAAGAAGACCTATGGAACAACCCAACTAAGTGGCGGCTGGAAGTCGGAAAACGGCGGAGAACGTTATAAACCGACAAGTAGTAGTAGTAGTAGGTTTTTACTGATATTTTTCGAATATTACTCCACACTGTAGCTAATGGTTTTAAGCTGTTTATATTTGAGACATTTTTTCTCTAGTTTTTATTATATATCTAGCATATGCACTCTGTTTTTTGTTTTCAATAATGTTAGTAGTTTTATTATGTTTTTTTCTTTTTGTTGAACGATATTTTATACTGCGTGATTGCTTTTTGACATTGCGTGTTTAACCATGGTAGAGGTTTGTGTTTTCTTAATATTTTAGTTTTTCCTATTTTTCTGTCGAGTATATAATAATGGTAGTAAAACTGTTGAGAGTTTTATTTATATTAGTGTTTTCAAAACTGGTTTCTAGTGATTCTGTTTATTTCTATAGCGTCAGCGTAATTATTTCAATAAGCGTTGTTAGTTTTTATTTTGGGATTGGTCGGTATTCAGAGGAAATGTTATCAGAAATTATAGAAACTTTTATTGTCGATCTGAATTTTTTGGTTACCGATTTAGTTGCTACCTTTATATACTTTATAAATTAAAATTCTTTTTACATTTTTTTGCTGTTTTGTGAATATTCATACATAATATCACAGTAAGCATGTATAAAAATTTGTCCTCTTAAAAATAGTCAACTACTAACTGTACTAACAAAGTCTCGATAAACGAGCGAGCAGGAATGTGAAAACCGCGATCAGCAGCAGGAGCAGTAGCACGACAGAGACGAAGTGAAGGGTGAGCTCGCGGGATCAACAAGGAGGATCGGACCAATAAGATCCAGGCAGGGGTTGCTATGGTTACGTCCTGTTACGGATTGCCATCTTACATTTCAGGAATTTCACTAACTTGAGTCGAATGCGTTTCGGTGTTCTTATCTCTGGGCTTTAGTGTTTATTTCATGGAAGATTAAAGGAATTAGGAGCGTTCTTACATGCACAGGTCTTGAGAACGTCGATCTTTAATTTTTGTTGTTTGTTCTTAAATCAAGACTTGCTCTAAACTTTGCCTGTAAAATTTGTTTACAGTTTAAATTTGAAATTACAATTATTAAACAAATAAAGTTAAATGTTTTTTAAAAAATATACTCGCCCCTCTACGTTCTCGGATACACTTTTAAAGGTCAACCATTTTTTTAAAATTAAAAGTTAAACGATTAAATTTTTTTAGATTTCTGATAAAAATATTGTGTAAATGTAATTGAGACTGTCATGGAATCACATAAATTTATGGTTCAGAACAGGTTTTTAAAAGATTTTTAGAGATTTACAGAACATTGGTTAAAAAAGTGACTACAGTGGCAATATTGAACAGCTGAAAATAATCAATAACATTAATATTGGTGGCTACCATTTTTTTAAGACATACTTACTGCTGCGCAATATTACAATGAGATACTTAATTCATTAATAAATTCACTTGATGATGAGAAATTGCAAAATGTGTATTACTAATTATGGTTTTATATTAAGCACAGAAACGATAGAGCGATCCTCTAGAATCCTCTAGAAGATCTCTCTTATAGATAACATGCTCTCGAATAAAATGAAATTTTTATGGGAAATTTCAATTTTGTTTAGTTTGTCTTGTTCTTCTTCAAGTGCCATGTCCGCTTCTCTTTCCTTGGATCTTTCCTTGCATAATCAGTTGGAGCAAGGTGTATTTCTCTTTACGGGTAATATCTAGATATTCCAATTTTCTTGTTTTAATTGTACTCAAAATTTCTATTTTTTATTCATTCTTCTCAGAACCTCTTTGTTTGTGACATGTTCTGTTCACGATATTTTTGAGAATTCTATACGCCCACAGCTCGAATGACTCCAGTTTTTTCATTGTTCCATTGTTCAAAAGTTTCAGTCTCAGTCTCTCGTTCAATTCTATTGCTAGCCTTTAACTTTTTCTTAGTTCCACACTTTGACCCTTCATTGCTTTAATTCATTCTAATTGACCAAACCCAGACAGATAGACAGTCGTTACAATTGGCGCTGAATAAGCAGTTATAAGACAAGTTCAGAACGGTTAAAAAGTCCCAAAACAACAAAAAAATAGTATTAAAATAGCCGGTACTGTAGACTAGCGGGTGGTTTAATACTATATTTTCTGTTTTTTTTAAATTTTAATCATATATTTTTAAAATTGAATAAAATAATTCTATTATTTATTTATTTTTTTTTGGATAATAAAATTAAAAAAGTGTGCAGGCTGTATAACGGACCGTGTTTACTATGACTGCTAACCAAGAACCACTATTTCGTTTCGGTGGTGTGCTACTTCGGTAACGCTCATCTGAGCATTTTACTGTAAAAAGAAAGTAATACAACGCCAGTATAGCAGCGTCGCTTCAAAAAATAAAATAAAGGAAATAAACAAAAAATAGAAAAAGATCTAAATAACCAGCTTTGTAAAACAATACATAAAAATTTTTAAGAAAATGTTTAAGAAACGTGATATCTCACAAATACCAGAAAAATATACTAAAAAGG